TGTAAAAGGGAAAAGATAATCTTTTCTTTGTCTGAGCTATACACTCTAAGGAACAAAAGTGTTCCATCTGATTTGTTTGTACAGAAAAGTAGCACAGTGGGGCCCTGGAATCAGTTGAAGTCACTGAGCACCTTAATAACACCCAGAAGAAACACGGACTTCTTCATCCTAGTGTAAATGACTGCCGTTTGAGTGCATATGGGAAGGGAGGGTGCATTAAAATAAATGATACTTAACTGTAGCTCTCAGGAATTTGCACTTTCTGTCCCACTTAATCTGTCTTAAGTTTTGAGCTTGCTTTAGCACAGATACACATTTCAGCAGAATGCAGAAATCATTTTCATTCTATTTGTTACAAGATTGATAACTTTCATTGAAGAATGTACACTGTGAAATCATAACTTTTCTTTTTCATTAGCACATTTCTAAATCTGTGGGCAATAAGATTTTTTATTTAAGCTTGTTTTGAAATAACTATTAAAAATCAGAATTTCCTTTTGAAATCACAGGGTAGATTTCTTTCAAATGTTTGTGGGTGGGGTTGATGACTTAGTTTTATAATGTGGGTTTAAGACTTTCCTTTTTCTAACAGCTTTTCCAGAATATTTATTTCATATATGTATTTGAAATGTCAGACCTTCCTAAACTCTTTTATTGGCACAGGTCTTTTAGTCTTTTTCCTCTGTTCCAGCTATGGAAGTTTCTGCTGTGTGTCAAATGCGAAGTCTGAGCTGCAGAGGGATGGCTGTGTGAACCCTTGAAATCTCAGTCAAATGTTCATGGCTCTTTTCAACAAATGATTTTTATAGAAGACAATATTCATCTCCTGTAGGGAAATAAAACTGGGTTCAAACAAAGCCAACAAGCCTTAAAAACAAATTTAAATTTGTCTTGCAACAGGAAAACATGCTTCATCAGTAAAATTGTCAGCAAGTCCTCTGTCACTGCATTATCAGGATGATCTTAATTTCTGAATAAGAAAAAAACCTTGAGTTTGGATTTCAGTTTTGAAACCACATCCTCCTTGCATATCAGACTGTTTAGATGTTTTATATCAGGCCCATCTGAAATCTGACCAAATAAATAAATGTATAATGTTGTACATCAGCATTTATTTTACTCCCTCTGGAGTTTTCTCATTCATATACTGGCAATGACCAAGCAATTGGCTTATATCTGGGGAAAGCTGCCTTTTTTCAAATGGTTGTCATTTTTTATGGCACAAGTTTAAATATCGAACGTAGGTTTCAGCAACCTTACTGCTTTGCTGGTTGTCCATTAGTACAGTGCATGCTCAGATCACTGGTACTTAAAGTGAATGTCCCATAGCACAAGCAGATCAAATTGGAGGTTGTTTTTATCAAATATGGTCATAAGTTCCTGGTGCTTCGAAACACGCTAGCACATTGTTACCTTTAAAGAGCACTTTGAGATCCACAGAATACAAGTATCAAGGCAGATATCCAGCATGGTTATGCAGTGAAGCAGAATTACAAGTCTCCTTGCAAGTGCTCTCTCCCTTCCCTACTTCTGCTCTTCCCACCTTTTTCAGGCTCTTTTCCGCTAGCGCTGGTCTAGACCCTCACCACCTCTGAGAACTGCTTTCCTGGGTGTTCTCCTTTTCAGTAGCAATGACAGCAGCAGGTGACGCAGTCTGTGTCCCAGGTCACCCTCCTCATTCAACTCTTGCTCTGGTTTGAGTCAGGGGTTTGCCTTTTCCTATCCTGCAAAAGAAAAACAAGATCAATAGCACTTTCTGATCTTTCTAAAAGCCTATCTAACTTTAGCTCTCAGAGGAGACTTCCTTTCTGTTGTATTAATGAGAGTTTGTCTGCTGAAGAATAAAATGCCAAATAAATCTGTCCTCGAGCACCATCTGATGGAGAAAGTCATGTATTGACTGGAAACGTGTTTTTCAGGAAACCACATCTCCAACAGTGACAGGGAAACTTGCCAAATCCACATACAATTCTTTTTTGTTTCCAGATGGACTCGCCAATACACTGTGTAGTACTGAGATTTTATTGCCTTTTGAAGGAAGCACAGTGTCCAATTTTCCAGTTTTAGGTGCAGTAGGAATGTATATGTTACACTGAATTAGGGTTTTCCAAGGATTTCTTTCACCCTTCGCCTGCTAAAAGCCCTATAAATTGAAAGTTAATATAAATATACCTAAGAAAGTAGGTACAGGAAGGGCTACAGATTAGATGATAGACATCCAGTTATGTGTTTTAAGCAGATATTTGAAAGAGAAAATGAGAATAACTTGCCATAAAAGGCAAAATCTTGAGGGCTTTACTACTTGGTACTAAAGTATGCTGCAAACTCTACTGAAACCACAGGTGTTCAACAAAAGAAAACCATGCTGCATAGCAATTTAGAAACTTGATATTCTTCTCAACTGAAGCCACATAGAAATCACATGGAGAAACAAAGTTTAAAATTTGGCCAAAATAACGTGCATGCTGTTATGAAGGGTATGTTAGCGTCTCTGGGAGCAAACACACTGCAGCCTGCACTGCGTTTTTCAAGAGATGCCAAGTCCACCAAATCCAGACACCAGCGGCATTGTAAGGCTGACACTGCTGAAGAAATGCTTCAGCTGGACACTATTTCCAAAATTGTCCAAGTTCTACCAACATCCCCTACATCCTGAAGAAAAGATGAAGTGTTTTGAAATTGGCTGGAGGAATGCTTTTTGTACTACAAGAGGTCTGATCCTATAAAGATAGGCTTGTGAATGTACATAAAGCATGGTATCTGCAATACACGGCCCCAGCCAGGCCAACAATAGATGGGAGGCTCAGGCCGGAAAACAGAGGGTATCAAACCCAAGCGTGAGAAGGAGAAACTGCTTCAGGACGCAGTGGACAGAGGTCATGGAATACCTGATTCATGTTATGTTTAAATCTGGGAGAGATTTATTCCTCTCAGATGTTATCCCTCAATTTAGCAGTCATCCCCCCATGTTTCCATGATGGCATCTATAATAGTTTTCCACAGCTGCACAATGACTTCCAGCTCCTCCTGTTTGTTGTGTATGCTGTGTGCATTGGTGTGCATGCACTTCAGTTGGGCTATGGATCCCACCACCTTTTTATGGGGAGAAGCTCTAATTCCTATGTGATCATTCTCAGGCACTTCTGTGGTTTCTGACACATCAATAACCCTTGTGTTTTATGATGCCAAGTGGATCTCCATCCCCCACCTCCACTGGTACAGCAGTCCAAAGGGCCTCACTAGCATGTTGTCCCTCAAACATAGGTGTGGTGCCCCCAGGCTTATCTCTAGTGAGCCTGTTTTTATCCCTTTCCCCCTTTAAATCTAGTTTATTTCCATGAGCCCTGCAAACTCCTGTGCAAAGATCCTGTTCCCCCTTTGAGACAAGGAAGGGGTACCCCATCCTTCACCAACACCAGCAGGCCTGGTGTCGTGCAAATTGATACCCATGATCAAAAACCCCCAAATTCTGCCAGTGACACCAGGCTTGGAGCCAGGCATTGATCTGATGGCTCTTCTTGTTTCTCCCATCATCATTCCCTGCAACTGGAGGCATAGAAGAAAGCACTGCTTGTGCTCCTGATTCTTTAACCTGTTGTCCCAAGGCCACGAAGTCTTCTTGATTGCCTTCAGACTTCTTTTTCCAAGTCTTTATTGCTACCTACCTGAAAAATCCGATAATAATCTGAGGGCTGTACCAAGGTAGGAAGCTTCCCCATCTCACATTTAACCTGGGTTGCAGGGAGACAGCAGACTTCCCAAAGAAGTGGATCAGTCTGAGTTTTGGGCCTTCTGTTCCCCTCAGAAGGGAGTCTCCTATGACAATGACCTATCTTTTCTTTATGGGAGCAGGTTGTAGACTGACTTAACCTCGGTGACACCTCCACCCTAGATGAACCATTGTCCTCATTGTTTTTCAGTTCCACTTGCAGAGCCTCATACCTATTGTGCAAGGGCCCCTGGGAAGGTGGGGCAGTGAGGGAGGAGATACACCTGCTGTGCTAGGCAGGAACTTGTCACCACTGCCCCCTATCCCTTATGTCACTGTGTTCAACCAGGCAGAGAAAAGATAGGGAATCCTCCGTATCGTGTCCCGTCTGGCTGCTGGGCACGTCTCAGGGAAAGTAGAGTGTGATTCCAGTAGTCTCCCTGTCTCGTTCTCCCTGATACTCCGCAACCTACTCACCTCCTCCTGCAGCTGTAAGTTCCTGTACCTGTCATGCCTCCTTGTAGGTGTGCTCACTTCTGCCATCTGATAGTACCATAGAGCACACACCACAGCCAGGAACCTTCAGTTCCCCCCAGAGCTCTGCCCGAGCAGCTGTGTCAGCTGTGGTGGGTGCAGAGCTCAGGGGTCATGGCTTTCTGCCAGGTTGATACCACTGCTCCCTGGTAGAGCTGGCAGGGCTTCAGCTGCCACCCAAACTGCTGCACCACACCTTTGCTGATTGCCCACCCTGTGGGTGGTGCTCCTGGTTGCTGGTGCTCCCTAAGGACTGGTGCTCCATACGGGGGGGGGGGGGCGGGCGTGCAGCCACCATTGCCCTTAGCCCTGCCCAGGTTCCTAAGGCAAGCTAAGCTTTACTCACAATCATTTCACTCTCAAAGTTCAGGCTCTAATATACTCCTTACAAGATTAATGATCAGCTCTTTGTAAGTGTTTACAATTCTAGCAGTAACAGTACGGTTGAGTCATGGGTTTTCAAATCCCAAAGTGCCAAGATACGAAGCATCATCTACAAAGGAGTAATTCCACCTGTGGTGAAATGGGGGCTAGCAGCTCCTGAACATACGCACAGAGATTCCCATCAGCTGGAACGTGAGATATAGCATTATGGAGTGCCTGAAGTTATGAGCAAGCCAGTTAGTAAGCAATACCTGTCCTGTTTTGTTGCTCATTATATGCTCACTAGTCAGCTTGTTCTCAGAAAACAAGAATGGTACTGACCTCTGTGATGGTGCTGCGGTGAGGAAATTCAGAGAAAACAGGGCAAGACGCAGGACAAGAATTGGTGTGTTTATAAAGGATCTCTTCAAATGTATGCAGCATACATCAACACGAATAAACCTTACATTTGCTTAATCATTTAAAAGCAACAAAATCAGTACATATCATATGCTACCAGCTGTTTTACAGAAACAAATTATTACATTGTATTCACAGCCTCTTTAACATCAGTTGATCATAAAGGTCAGAAAAGTAGTCACTGTTAAAAAAGTGGAAATTTCCAAAGGTAAAAAGCAGAAATAACCCTAACAAGCTCAAGAAAACCAATCCGAAACTTAACAGAAACAGCAAGCAAGAGAAAAACCTTTGTTTGCAGTGATTTGCAGATAGAAACTTTTTTCTTTAGTCCATATTCAGATCTGTTTTGTTAGTCTTCAGATACCACAACTGGATTCAAGGAACTGCTGAGCAATTCAATAAAACCCACTAGACTGTAGCCAAAAATAGTTGCAACTGCTCCTCCCTCAATTTAAAAGGGGAAATCACATCTCATCTCCAGGGATGTCATTTACTTATCACTCTCAGAACTTGCACAGTTATGGCAACTAAGAGGCAGCACAAGGGATCCAAACAGCCACTAGAACAGTAGTTTTAAGTATGCTGTCTCAGAACTGGTGGGTTCTCTATTTTCTCTCACTTCTTTTTCATATACTGTCAAACCACTTCTTGGTTGAATCCTTAACTCCTATGCCTTTTATGTGAAAAGCAGGCAGATTCAAATGATCATTTGAAGGAACAGCTTGAAGAAAAAAAAATAAAACACCTGCATATCATACCGACTTGTGCTGTAGATTGAACAGAGGACAGGACAACAAACAGAGACAAAATTATAGATGTGGAATGCCTTTGTTTTATTTCTATTCCTTAAAAAAATTGTAAGAGAAAGAAAGTAGTGCAACTTCTCTGTAACTTAGGCTTAACAAAGAAGAAATGTTTCTGCAGCACTTCAGAAATCATTCTGGCCTACAAGAAAAAACTTCTGTAACATCAGTGGCAACATCTCCCTTAGACCAGCCTTCCATAGATTTCTTAATTTCATTATTTAATTCCATTTTTTAACTAGCTTATATGGAGAACTTTTTTCAAAAGAAAACAAAAATATCTGCAGATCATGGAAAGCACATTTTTCAGTTATGTATAAACAAAACCAGTGAGTTTTTGAAGCTTTTATAAGCAATATTCAGGCAGCTGTACATGGTACTATAAACTGAATTTTATGGTGTTTACAGAATTCAGCTTTAATCACTGCAGCAACTTAGAAGGGTAAATGTAAACCTCACATAACCAACAAGTGTAAGGAAAATTACTCAATCTTTCACATATATTATTTTTTGAGGTTTTTTTTTCCTGTCCTTCTCCTTTAGCCCCTTCTGTAGTTTCAAAACAAAAGTCCCTGACTTACATAAAGATGGGTTTAGGTAAAAAAAAAAAAAAATAAAAAAATTAGGAAATTTAGGGAAAGAATGTCTTGGGGCATCTACCAAGCAAGAAGAAATAAGACACTTGAAAATGCCTCACATTCATAGGGAGAAATGAAACACAGGTTATCATAATGAGGAACTCTGAGAATATGTACTAAAATCACAGCATTAATAAGGCATACTTATTATGTCAATATATACAATTAAACCAACTCAGAGTTCTAAATGTAGCCCTAAGGTTCTGCCACTGGTTTCACTGAGGTTTCAACAACAGTTTAAATAATAACATGCACTGGAAAAGGTAAAGAAAATAAAAATAAAAAAAATGCAAAACACCATCTATGACTGTTCTGAAGCAGCAACATTATTTACATGGATGCATTTAAGGACATAACTGATTTTTAATAACAAAAAAACCCCAACAAACCAAACCCAAAATTACACATAGTTGACTTCATACTTTCATTGAGTAATAGGAGGGAAAGCATATGGAATGTTATCAGTGCAAAATACATTTTTTTTTATGTTTCAAATGCAATGCAAGCAGTGGTGACTGGTAAGTAATGTGAGCTTGAACATTAAACACAGGAGAGTGCCACAACTCATTGTATAGTTCTGAGAGTAACCTCTCATTAGTTCAGTGGTGTAGACGAATGAAGACCATAATACCAACAATTATACCAGTTTTTCTCTTGTCACTGAAATGTCACTTATGCTTCCAGAGATATGAGAAAATGCATTCATCTAGTTCCACAAACTACTGCTAGTTGCTTCAGTACACCTTTAATAGTCATAGCAAATTTATTCTTAAAATGAAGGTAGAAAAATTGCACAGGAAATACTAACAAATAATTGATGATAAAATTGTTCAGCAGAAGTTATTACTAAACAGAAACCACCACTTCAAGTTTCAATAAAGCTTACATTTGGTCTCAGTTTCAGCCTGAATGGCCCCGTATTATTCTAAAATTATCCATTTTAGGCCTTCTAATATATAAAGTTAGCATATAACCAGCTCTGTTACCTGGGAAAGAGCAGGCATCGGCACAGTCAGATGGCCACTCCAAAGTGCCTAATCCTGCTGAGCAGCAAATTTTGTAGACAAAGTATGCTTAATAAAATCACATAAACAAGCATGCTGGTAATTAAGCTACCGTCATGGCAGACAAATGGCAGCAGACCACAGCATAAGAAATTAAGGCTAACGAGCTGTATTACAAGTTTTCCTTCTGATTAAATAATAAAAAATCTCAAGTAAATAATCAGAATCAATTTCTGTCTTCCAACAATTATCAATATAAACACTGTTCCAAATGTGAGCTACAAGCAGGATTTGTGTTATTTCATGTCATTCCTTTTTTCCCTCCAAAAAGGTTAAAAATCTGTAAAAAAATCCCAGCCAGTACAATACAGCAACACCTGTCCCCCTCACAAGTGTTGTAGTGGTACCAGTTAGAATAACATTTGTCTAGATTTAACATTCCTGCAGCAGAAATATTTGTAAGCACTTAATGTGCCCTCTTAAAAGATCCTGTTACTATTGTACAAGTCTGGCAAGTGTTAAGCACCACCTCAGGTTGATTCACTTTGCTTCTCCTTTGAGGTACATCTATGCAATCCAAATTTGCAACTACTGATTTTTTAACTTCACATTTCCATGGCTACAGTATTTTTGTTTGTTTGCATTCATTATCAAAATAGCTGCTAAAGCTAGTCCAACCCCTAGACTTGGAGGGCCACAGGGACTGAACTCCTGAGCAATTCCAGAAAGGAGTGGGGCAAGTATACGTCCCACTGATGTCACCGACTGTCCAACACCTAGGAGCGTACCACTGGCCTCATTCCCACCAATGGTCAACTCAAGATCAATGATACAAGTACGACCTATAGTAGTTGAAAAGGCTAAGAATGTGGAAGACAAAATGACCAACCATATGCTCCGTGCTGAAGCATACAGGAGAATCAATGTGCAGGTAAGAGTGCTAGAGTGCAACAAAATTCTGTATGTATTGTGCTGATAGAGTCTTGTTATTGGTCCGAGCAGACAACCAGCCAGGACTCCAAGTGCACTGCTATAGCTCATTAGGTATCCAGCAAACAAGGGTTTCAGCCCAAATCTCTCCTCCAAGGCCAGGCTAAAATTACTGTAGTACAGCAGTATAGCAACAGACATCAGCAACCGCACTAAAAATATATCCCACAGATCAGAGCACGCGATTCCTTTAATCCTCTTCAGCACTGCTGTAACTTGGATCCATGGAGACTGGAAAAGACTGTTGCTTGCCACGGCTCCATTAGTTGCCGATTTCAAGTGCAGGTCATGATTTGCCTTTGCTGAGAAGCTGTCTGTTCCTTTTTTTCCTTGTTGACATTCCCTATTGCCAGTGTTTTCTTCACTCCAGGGTAACATCCAGACAAGACCTATACAGATCAAGAAATTAGCTGATTTTATTCAATTGCATTAATTTTACTTGGAAGACATTAGCTTGATTGTAACCATGTACTCAGTGTAAAGATCAAAGTTTAAAAATGACTTAACAGTCATTTCACTTTAAAAATTTTCAAAGATTAAGTCTAGTGCTATTCACAGTATCAGTTCAATTTTAAATGCAGTGCAAGCAAGGAAGAAATACACCAAGATGCCACACTCACAACATATAAACAGATCTAAAGGCTAAAGCTGATTTCTGGTCTTCCTGTATCTGAATGTAAAAGTGATACATAGAATACAAAGGAGAAGCACCTGGAGGTTAACTGTTTCAAAACTGCCACCCTTCCACATAGGTTCAAATTCAAAGGGTAATACTGGTAGACAGAACATGTATGCCATATATGATAAACACACTATGAATACAAGGTATTAGAAATAGTGTAAAAACACAAAAGTGAGGAATGAAGGCACCCAAGATGCAAAATATGGCACACAACTTACCAGCATTCAGAAGGAAGATACAGGCACAGAGGAAGGATGTTTGATAAAAGCCATCTTTCAGCTCTGTCAGGTAGCCGCCAACAACAGGCCCCAGAATGAAGCCCACACTGGAGGCTGCATTGAAGCGTCCCATCACTAAAGGGCGGTCTCGCTCAGAAACCAAGTCGGAAAGGAGAGCTTTAGAGATTGAGAGTGTGTGTTTGAAGATACCTGCAATGTAATATAAACAAAATAAACATATATTGCTCAGTCCAAAAGATTAAAAATGACAGAAGCTATCTGAAATATCAGTGGTCAAAATCTACATGACTGGTATGCTAGAGTCCTGCAGCTGCCATCCTGGCTGTTCAAGGATTTGGCTTAGGTGATTTTGATCAAGGCAACCAGTTCATGCCTCTGCTCAAAGTTATGCTCCTACAGCCCTGCTGAAAGGAGAAGTAACTAAGCTGAGTGTTGAAGCACACTAGGAATAAAATAGCCACTACAATAGCAACTTGTGGATGGTTAATGGTGAGGTAGGAACAGCTTGCCTGAATATGAACATAGCTCTGTACCAACTTTGCTGAGTATGAAGATTTCCAGGATTGTAACACACCAATTTCTATGGGAAACTAGTGGGTGGCAGAAGAAGGGCACAGAAGGGTAAGCAGACTGCAGGAATATTAATAATGCTATCTTTTACATTCCTTCCCTCTGACCAGGGCAATGCTGTCACAGTGCTACTAGGATTTAGAAGTATTATTTCTACTAAGCAGTCAAGTATCAATTAAATAATTCATTAGCAAATTGTCTTTAAATATTAACAGCTCCTGAATCAAAACTATGGGCCATAAAAGTGGCCTTTAGTAGATGTGTTCGAAGTAATAGCAATGCTTATTATGACAGAATATAGGCAATAGGTGTTTGATTATTTTAAGAACTCTGAAATGAACCCTGGCACAAACTGTGCTGCAAACATACACACTTCTGCAGAACATATTCTGTTGAAGCAGTGACATAAAATTTCAGCCAAATACTGTAGTGTCACTTTGAGGTATATTTTCAGCAAGAGAAGAAACAGTAATGCATGTAATTCTGTTCTCTACTGCAAATGCAGGTCAAGATTTCCAGCAGTTACCTGGTATGTTGTGTACCTGTTATGACTAAACTTACAATAGCCTCTTTCAAAGTATTGCTATACTCCTCATATAATTCAGCCATTCAAGGTGGCATAAAAGTTGTGACAGTTGTTGAATATACAGTTAACCTGGTTTCAGTTGGGTAGAGTTCATTTCTTCCTAGTAGCTGGTACAGTGCTGTATTTTGGCTCTAGGATGAGAATAATGTGGATAACACATTGAGGTTTTAGTTTGCACTAAGTAAAGGCCTCTTCAGCTTTTCACCCCACCTTGAGTGCCCCTCAGTGAATAGGTTGAGGAGCACAAGAAGTTAGGAGGGGGTACAGAGAGGACAGCTGACCCCAATCGCCCAAAGGGATATTCCATAACATGTGATGTCATGCTCAGGACATAAAGTAGGAAGAAAGCTGGCTAGGGACCACTGCTCATGAACTGGCTGCACATCAGTCGGCTGGTTGTGAGCAATTGTATTGTGCATGACTTGTTTTGTGTATTATTATTTTGCTTCCTTTTCAGTCCTATTAAACTGTCTTTATCTCAACCCACAAATTTTACATTCTCCCTCCTCTCCCACCCCCTCTCCCCCCGCCTGATTTTCTCCCCTATACAGCTATGTGTGTGAGTGGTGTTCTTAGCTGCCTGCTGGGTTAAACCACAACAACATTTCAAGTTACTTTCAGAAAAAGGTCACGAGAATACTTGATTTGTGGAGATTTTTCAGTTACTAAGGTTGGTACTGCTGGGTGATGATGCTATGTAGCCATCTACATACCATGTTTTTCCTAGTAGTAATTCTCAAACTGCAACTATGGGGAATTTAAACTCCAAAATCCCATGTGTTTACTCACCTACAGGCACCCTAGAAATGGCAAACAGGAACACAGTGGTGGATGCTCCAAGAACGAAGTAACCCAGAGCACTGAGAAGAATACAAGCAAGCAGGGAATACCGTCTTCCTACTATATCACTCCAGCAGCCCTTTCACAAATCAGGAAATTAAGATTAGCTTTTTAAAACACTTAACTATGTACAGTGAACAACCAATACTTCTAAATTAAACTGAGAAAAGAGATGAAAGGACTGTCAATGAAAGCTTAATAAGTTTATTACACAACTAAGTGATTAAATTCCTGAAGTCACAAGCAGAGTTCTGTCCTGCCACCAGTGCACCTGCTGAAACTATGATTCCATTTAATGTCATGCATAGAGCTTTTTAAAAAATAATTTTCCTCTTTTAAAAGTACAGTCCTGCAATATACATCATGAAATAGTAGTAGTAAGGGCACTCTGAAAATGTTATTACAACCAACCACTAATATTTGTTTGCATCAATGGTTGCAATGTATTAGATACTTGTTGAGCATCCTAAAACGAATGATCTTAGCTATGAGGAGTTTGTCAGCTGAGTGCAGACAGGGAGTAATTAAGAGAAGGGCAAACAGTAAACTTGCGTTTAACATTCTTCAGGACAAGGGGTAATGGGTTCAAACTTAAACAGGGGAAGTTTAAATTGGATATAAGGAGGAAATTCTTTCCTGTTAAGGGTGGTGAGGCACTGGAATGGGTTGCCCAGGGAAGTTGTGAAAGTTCCATCCCTGGCAGCGTTCAAGACCAGGTTGGACAAAGCCTTGGGTGAGATGGTTTAGTGTGAGGTGTCCCTGCCCATGGCAGGGGGGTTGGAACTAGATGATCTTAAGGTCCTTTCCAACCCTAACTATTCTATGATTCTTGTAAATCATCTTGATACCAAAAAGGCAACAGGTTTTTTTGAGAAAGAAGGCAATGGTCTTGCAGTTCAAAAGAAAATGCCATAAGATCATAGAAGCAAATTATTACAGGTGGCATACCAAACAGTTTTTTCATGAGATGCTCAAAGTCTCTTCTCTTAAAAAGGCTAGGAGGTATCAGGGCAATATTAAAGGTGCTCCTGGCTAAGGAGGGATCTAAGGGATTGATAGGTAAAGCATACATTCAGGAGGTTTAGTCTCTGCACTCTTGCTTAGATTAGGATATAAAAAATCAACAGCTAACAGAAAACAAAACCAAACAAAGCTCAAAGATGTATTACATTAATTTAAATGACAAATTACAAGGCATTGCTTGTCAAGCAGGCAAAGCAAACTCTAGGTAACAAGCTCATGAACAGCTGACTTGTGAGACTGCTTTTTGGACAGGCTACCACACTGAAGGAAACTCCAGCTTTACTAGCACCAACATTGAAGAAGAACCCTGTGTGACTGCAACATACTCTGTAACGTATTTGAGACCAAATCTGGATTCTAGTTTTTGACCAAAGATCGTATTCTATTTAGTTCTGAAAAATCTGGCAATTTCCTAGAAATGAAACAAACATGTTCCATGCAAACTAAAACCTAGATCCTTCAAGTAAAAATGCTTAGATGAAGACTATAAATGTTTTCAAAACATCAAGAAATGCTATTATTAACCTCACCCCTTTTCCCTTTAAAATCCATAGAAATACCAACATGTTCAGAAATGCTGTGTTAGAACTCACCACAAATGTGCTGGAAAATAGTTGCATTATACCATAGAGAGATCCTAAAACAAGCAAGTAAAATTAACAACGTTAAAAATTTAACTTCATTTTTAAGAAAATGAAAACCACACAAAATTTTAAATGGGGCAACATGAAAGACATTCTGGAAATAATTTACTAGAATAACAGGAAGAGGGAGCAGGACAAACCAAGGGTAGAATTTAGCACATAACCAAGGACTCTCACAGTTTAAGCTCAGACAGTAACTCAGAACCTTTCTGGGTAAGTTTGAGAGACCTGAGCATGACACAAGAATGACATGGTGGTTGCTTCCACCATGGTAAGCACATGGCACTTGCCTTGGCAGGTCGGTGGGAGTGTGATACAGTCAGTCTGCCCGGCCTTCCCATATTTGTACTTCAGCCATTATCCTCCACACCAGAAAGGCTTTAGCTGCTTGGCTTGCTTAATTGTAGCACATTTCACATCCATGAATGACCTGGGCAATACTGTCCATTGTTAAGTCCACCTCTTGATCATGAGCCCATCTGTATGTTGCATCTCTGCCTTGATGGCCTTAAGTGTCATGGGCCCACCATGGGCTAAAAATAATTCACCCTTATGTTGCCGATCTAAATTCATTTGAGCCACTTTAATCTCAGCAGCTTTATCCACCTGTTGGTTGTTCTGATGTTCCTCAGTGGCCCAGCTCTTTGGGACATGAGCATCTATGTGGCATACCTTCAACACCAGGCTCTCCATCCAGGCAGTGATATCTTGCCACAGTGCAGCAGCCCAAATGGGTTTACCTCTGCGTTGCCAATTACACTGGTTCCATTGCTGCAATCACCTCCATAGGGTATTTGCTACTATACACAAGTCAGTATAAAGTACTGGCCATTTTTCTTGTTCAGTAAAGTGTAAGGCCAACTGGATGGCTTTCACCTCTGCAAAATGGCTTGACATGCCTTCTCCTTCAGGAGTTTTTGCACTTGTCATAAGGCTCACCATACAGCTACTTTCCATCTCTGATGCTTTCCCACGATACGGCAAGACCCATCAGTAAACAAGCCATACTATTTCTCACATTTTTGATGAACTGCTGCTTAAAATAATACTCAACTCAGCACAGAACCCAAATTATTCATGAAAAGTGCTAAATTTCATTCAAAATAAAAAAGGATGGTAATAAAAAGCTGAATAACAGAGCCCATGTCAACCACATAGCTATAAAAAATATCATTACAAACCATCAACAGAGCCATAAAATATAAACAAGAACTTCAAACAACAAAAATTATCAGTTATTTTTTAAGATAAAATCCCAAACTTTCAGAATTTACTTGTAAACACTAGTAAAGACATTAAATATTTTGCCAAAAGACAGCTGCAAGAAATTTAATCAAACAGGGAGCAATCACAGGCTTTGTAAAGCTCAGGAGAATCAGCTACAGAAGTACTGTTTGCAAAGCCTGTAAATAACAATAAAACTAAAAGCAACACCTCTGGCTCACAAAGTTGCTGAGCTGTGAATTCTTGGATGCTGAAAAAGCACCTGCACAAGTACTACTGCAAGACTTGCTTGTTCTTTCCAAGACTGCTCTTTCCCAAGCACTGTCAGCATGCAAGTCTGGACAGGTCTTTGCATCTAACAAAGTATGGCAGTTTTATTGGGAAATTGGCCTTACTTTGTATTATGCTACTAGCAAGGAAGAATTATGTTACAACTTCCAAACTGCAGTAAGGCATAATTCAGGTCATATTATCTTATTCTTCAGTAAATCAGTCAAGTACTGCAACTCACCTATTATACCAGCAACTGTATGACTTGCTCCTAGAGATTTGATATGAAGGTTCATCAAAGGAACAACCATGCTCACACCAAATAAATCCTGAAAAGAAGGCAGGAAAAGTTTTCATAAATGATCACGTTTACAAAGATGATGGCAACCTGGCTTAGTAACAGTCGATATTAAAAAAGTTCCATAGCAGTAGAAGATTAAAAGAATTCTTTTCTGGCCAATGTGGTACGTTCTAACTTTTAAAATGCATTCAGTATGTACAAAATTGCAAAAGCACATAAAGGAGTTAAAACTATGGAAACAGCAATCTTCTTTCCCCTGTCAGATACAGTAATTTTTAAGATATATATTTAAATATTCCTTAAATATATACTAAACTTTATCTGTTTCACAAGAAAAGTACTTGGTACCAGTATTTTAAATTCAAAGTGGTTTGTAATTTCAATTGCCTACAAATAGTTTTTTATTTGGGCAAAGACAGTATACTTGTAAAATCTACAGTATTTTAGCTCTCATCCACAATGGGATGAAGCTATGGTAGATCTAAACCTACCTACTGTCTTTGTGCATAATTTAAGAAATGTACTGAAAAGACAGACACATGGGGGGGGGGGGGAAGCAAAGCTTAAGTCATAAATGTTTTGTAAGAGGAGGGCAAAGGTCACTGCCCATCCTTAGCAGTAGAAGAATCTCCTACTCCTTTTGATTTTTCAACTGTTGTTAAGCTAACCACATCAACTCAGGAGTTCTTTTGCTACTATTACCTGGCACAGTATATGATATCCTATATCAGAGCAGAACCTTACAGACTTAGTGGAGTAAGCTCACCTTTTATCAAGGACTACTTGAGCTGAAAAAGTATGAAAGCTGAAAAGGCTTTAAAGCCCATAGCCTGAATAACTGTAACAATGTGCATTGCTACGTAAATTCTCACAGGCTGTCATTAAGTACCTTTTGATGGTTGAAATTGAGGCTTACAAGGTTAGAATCATTACTAAATATATTAGCTCCAGCAAACAGAGCACACAACTTATGAAGATCTTCAATGACACAATCTTAGGTGTCCTCTACAAACCTGAAGAGAGGTTCAATGACTTTGTCCAGGTCATCAATAGAGACATCCAAGTCTCCAAATACATCCTGGCAGTATTGGACTTTTATAAGCATATAGGTAGAGCAAGACCTACTAACCAGTATCCTCTGATGGGTAGTTATTTCTCATTTCACCTATAATGTCTTAGGTCAAATAATAAATACTCTGTATTTGCCTGGTTACAGGAAGCTTGCGTCACAGGCAACAGCTCTTCATTATGATATTTCACCATAAGGTGCACCCTCTAAAAGGATACTCACTTCTTGACTGATTTCAGTGTGTACTCCAGCTCAGTGTCAGCACACTTATTACAGGATTGGAGAACCACGGTACTTAAGTTAGCTAAGAAGCAAAGCTTATTCTAAATGCACTCTTTCCTAGAATATTTGCTCCAGGACACAAATCAACTGCACTGTTTCTACGTCCCAGCCTAAAGGTAAGCTGGGCAATATATCCACATTTCACGGTGCACGGTCATACTCATTTTGTACTCATTTTCCAAGTCAAACCTTTTAGTTTTAAATTCATTAAATAACATTTTCCTGAGGCTCATGAATACAAGCCTTCTCTAAAATCACCCTCCTCCCCTCACCGAAAAAGCATGGACTTTTTAACTTATTTTAATTTACATCAGCCACTGGTATTTCAAGGAAACAGAACAGCTCTGACAAGCACAAGGCAAGACTTAGCTGTCAGGGTGCTAAACTACTCCGTTGTATTTACAGAACGAAAACCATATCCGTGTATGAAGCTGCACGACTGTTTGCACGGGTAAGACAACACAGTAGCAACCAACCAATACCACTACCAACATTAGAACTGCAAGAAGGAGGCAGGTGAAGGGATGTACTTCAAACCCAAGCCTGATCTGGCGTGCAATGGGCCGGGGGTACCGCTACCAGCCGGGGTCCGAGGGTGCCCGCGAGATTCAGCCCGGCAAAGGCCACGGGGAGGAAAGTACGGGGGCCTATGGGGACAGTCCCCGGGCTTTGCAGCATCTCCCGAGGGGACCTCTAGGCTCCGAAACAAGCTACGGGCCCATCGCCCTTCTCCCATCTCTAACACGGCTCCTGCCACGGGGCCCAGCAGCGGGCCCTGCGAGGTGGGGATGGGAGGATTTCCCTACTCAAACGGAGCTGCCCGAAGGAGGCCGCACTGGAAGAACACCCCCGCAGCCGCACCCCGCCTCTCCGCTTACCAGGAAGCCCACCGCGTAAAGGCACCGCACAAAGCGGCCGGACGTTGCGGCAGCAGCAGCCGCCGCCGCGCTTTCCGAGGCTCCCCGGCCCCCATCCTCGTCCTCCTCTTCCATCCGGCCAAATGCGGCCGCGGACCGGCGCTCCGCAGCGGCGGCGCTGGGCATGCGCAGTGTGGGGGGCGCGGCGGGTAAACATGGAGGTGATGGGGTAGGGGGGAAGTGGCAAAGTTTGGTGGTGTGGTTGTGTTAATGGACGTACTCTCCGTGTTTCCTCTTTTTCAGGCGAGGAGGAAGAATAAGGATCCTTGCCCCCTCCTCTGCTACCCTGCAGGACTTTGCCCTTCTTGGCGTTTTCTTATGTGGAGGGTTTTGCAACCTGTGTATTCAGGGCCTGGAGCTCGAAGGAAAGCAGGAAAAGCTAGATAGGGTGGAGGGCCTTTGGAATGGGAGCGTGGTAACTGTCCCATTGCACCTTTCTGTTAGTTGCTATACAAATACAACTTTTGAACCTGGGCATTGCCGAGCCTGCCTTATCCATGCGGAAAGTGGCTATGCCTCACTGCTGCCTCTTGGGCCTCATGGGATTCAGCCAGGTGCCAGGTGTTTCTGATGGCAGTGTTCTCCTGCCTTGTTGGGTGGTTGGTAGTTGTTGTATTGAGCCAGGGAAGAAGGGCATCCTTCTTTATCCTTGGCACATGCACAGCTGTGCTTCACGTTGTTAAAGTCAGGGGTAGCTGGATTGTGCATTATAACGTATTAGCATCCAAAATAGTAAACCAACATTCTTAAATCTCTGAGATGCACAGGTGGAGTAATTGTGACATGCAAAATACTGTGTCCAGCTTTGGTGTCCTCACTACAGGAAAAATATGGACCCATTGGAGAGGGTACAGAGAAAGTCTGAGAGAATTGGGGTTGTTCAGTCTGAAGAAAAGACTTTTGGGAGATCTTACTGTGGCTTTTCAGTTCTTAAAAGGGACCTTTAAGGAAGATGGGGAGAGACTTTGTAGCAGGGCCTGTTTCAACAGGACAAGGGGTAATGGTTTTAAGCTAAAAGAGGAGAGATTCAGGCTGGATGCGAGGAAAAAAGTTTTTTACAGTGAGGGTGGTAAAACTGGCACAGGTTGCCCAGAGAAGTGGTGGATATGCCGTCCTTGAGAGATTTTCAAGGGCAGGATGGATGTGGTTCTGGGCAGCCTGATTTAGTTGAAGATATCCCTGCTCATTGTAGGGGGATTGGATTAGATGGCCTTTGAAGGTCCCTTCCAATCCAAGCCTTTCTGTGATTCTGCAGTTTATGTTGGAGGTGGAAGGGATTTTTTCCTTATATATAGCTGCTAAGCTGGGCATCAATGAAGGGACTGCAGTTTTAAATACTTTTTTTAAAAGAAACATGCTTTAATTTGTTTTTAATTATCAGGAAAGCTTTTGAAAAATTATAATGAATCACATTTTAAAAGTTACCCCCAGTTGATAAAGTTTGAGAATGATTAATCAATGACTGGCGATAGGGTAACTTCAGTTTTGTCTTCATGTTTTCAGAAGACATAAATATTACAGGATCAAGGGTCTTCAACAGATTTAGGTCGCAAAAAAGTAGAAGGGAATGTGGTTTTCCTTATGATTATGAAGAATTAAGCTTAAGAAAACCCAACCAACCAGCCAAAAAATGTAGAAAGCAAGATGTATGCCTCTATATGCAGCTTATTTATAAGACACTAAGGCAAAGTTTAGCCTAGCATATGCATAGGGAAAAGATGTTTTCAGAATCTCTACAATGATTTAGTTACTATCCCAGTGGCTGTGATATTTTATAGTTGGCTTAACCAATGCATCCTATTAATTTAGTTCTCTGAGGCCGCTTTGAATAACAAACCCTCTCAGTGAGAGAAGGCATTATGGGAATTGACAGTATATTGTCTGCTCAGTATTGCGCTATGTTTTAGTCATGGTCGTTTTATCTGATACAAGAAGTGGAAAGGGCCTGAAGATTTATCAGCGGAAACTTAAGGAGGTGGATGATTAAAAGATATTGAAGAGTTTAGGTACTCTCCCTGAGGTATAAGGCAGATTGAGTTTTGTGCAAACACTGAGCCCAGGTTAAATTTTTGAGGTTCTGTGTAAATGTCAGTCTGTGCTATAAGTCTCAGAAACTGGATTTGGCAATTCTGCATTCTTCTTAGATTCTGAAGATAAAAATGATCTAATGTAATGGGGACAAATTATTGTAGGCAAAAATATTGGATTCCCTGACAATGAAACTGTTCCTTAGTTTTGCCTATTATTTCAAGCAATCTCCATGCAGAATGCCTTGTAAAGCAGAATAAATGGCTTTTAAAGAGAATAGCCCACTTTTTGATGCTCCAATAACAGTGTCAGTGCAAACTGTGTGTCCAAGAACAAAAATAATTTAGAAAACATATAGATGTCACTTCCTTTAACACATTTTTTCCTGCTTTTATACTGGCAAGCTTAATCAGATCATTAAAGAATTGTGCATATTGCATGTTTAGTTTTGTATAATATGTGAGAAAAGCGTTAATATATAGTAACATGGCAAATATCTCTTGCATTTGAACTGAAGGCAAGTGCTTCCTGCAGCCTTGAAGGTTCTCACTCATGTTCTGTCACTGCAATTACAAAATTTAAGATAAAGGCTCCCAAATAAATCTGAAGATGAAGTTCCCAAGTAATGTGATGGTATGACTGATAAAGGAAACGAGTAACAAATGAAATGCAGAAGAGAATTTATCACAGTCTTAAGGAAAACAGAACCAGTCTTAATATCTCTGGGGGCAGAATTTCACAGTTGGTTGATTGAAGTACTGTCAATACAGTACAGTTACATAGCTTTAAGGTATTTGATTTGTTGCAGTTTTAAGGTGTTTGACTTGCTACTGTATGATTCCTAAAAGACAGTAGAGCAATACATACTCAGAAATGGCAAACAGCATGTGGCTTCAGAATTGTTTGGTATGTCTCCAGACTGTATCTGTGAATGGATAATCTTCCCTGATGAGGGGGCAGATTTCTGCATAGTCTTCTAATATCTGACCCTTTTTCCATGACCTGGAAAAAGAGATAGAATCAAAATTATTGATTTTTATGGACAATCCTAGCACCAGGAAAATTAGGCAGACTGCTGATACAAGAAAATCTGAGCATTTAGCTTCCGTGATACATGTAAGTATTCTGACTGGAAAAGCGCAGCTACAAAGAAAGAATGGTGCACACTTAGGAAGTGTACCCCTCTGTTGTGGCAGTCAGTGATTATGAGATGAACCTGGTAGTCATAGTAAATAACCAGCAACCAGAAGTTTTATTGCTATTCTGTGGCCCAAAAAACAATTTTGGGCCATATCCATCCTTTGATAAGAAATAGAAGTAGTGGAAGTAAGCTAGGAAAACTTTCAGTATGTTTGTATCAGTTATTTGGTCTAAGTATTAATGCAACATGGTATCTAGTTCAGCTGTCCTAATTGAAGATCAATGTTGAATAAATGGAGAGGGTTGGGAAAAAAACATGCTTTAATGGCAGTAAAAATTTTTCTTACAGTTTTGGGCAGCCAGAGATCAGACTGTACTTAGCCTTGCCTCAAATTACGAATGGGAGGAGAACTGGTTTGCTGGAGAATGTCTGAAGTTCAGTTTGCTAATGAGGAGAAGGTGTGAGGGATCTGCAGCCCTTTACTACAAACATTCACTGTGGTAAATGCCAAACAAGGGGTTGAGACAGCTGTGCCTGGGTGTGCTCCAAGTCATGACAAAGTGGAAGCACTGGTGAAAGTCATTTGAAATCTAACAGTTTTGGAAAAAAGAGCCTTTCATTCCTTCAGTGGGGGAGAAACTGTTAAACCTTATAAGTTCTTAAATAAAGTTTGTAAAATACTTTTGTAAGACAGATCTGTGAGAACTATAGGACTTTATTGCAGTAAAGGGAATGTATTCTTGTATTCCAGCATTATAAATGGGTAAGGTCAAGATCCCCAAAAGTACAATGTATCACCAAATTTAGTGAACCTAACAATGACTGACTTCATTCTGGTTTACCACTTCAGACCATTAGGGTAACACTGAACAGTCATTACAACTTTTCAAATACAAATTGAGCCCAGTAGAAAAAGTTACAATCCAGTGGTCCAGAACTTTTGAAGATGTACTGTAAATGAACTTGAGTTTGGAAACTTGTTAATCTTGAGGACATTTAAACTGTAATCGCTCTGTAAAGGTCTGCAGAATTAAGGAATCTGGAAAGAAACCTTTTGACTCCAACGTCAAAGCTGTAAGTACTGGTGGTCATGGCAGAGCGACTGCCAAGCTGGATGTGGTTCTGATCT